TGCCGCCGCTCGCTGCCGCTTGCCGCCGCTCGCCGTTAGCCGCTCACCGCTCCAGCTTCGTGATGGGATCTAGGCCGCTCGTCGCTTGAGCTTCGTGATGGGATCTAGGGTTTTTCTTTCTCTCTGTGGCTTTTCTTTTATTTTTTTTCTTTCTCTGAGCGGCGCGCTTACGAGGGGAGTGAGGGAACGAAGGGTTGTTACACGGGTCGGGACTTTTTCTATACGGGTCAATAGGTCAACCCGAATTGACCCAGTTAATAAATGGGTAAATTTGGGTTGACCCGTTTATGACCCGACCCATATAATTTGACCCGTACCCATTATAAACGGGTCGGGTCGGGTCGGGTTAATGGGTCGGGTCATAAATTGCCACCCCTAGATGGAAATGGGGTGGGTGGTGGTGGAAATGGGATCGATAGTGATTCTTAAGGGGTTTGCGCTAGTGGTGGTAAGGTATTGGTGGTTTCGATAGGGGTTGCACTAGTAAAAAGTAGTCCAGCCTTACCCCCGAGTGCCCCTCAAAAAACCCTAATTCTTCCTCCACAAATCTGACCTCGCCGCCTCTCCTGCTCCTCTTTTTCGCTGGATTCATGACTTGTAAGTCCTCTACCTCAAAACCCTAACCCTAATTTGGGTATTTTCAGATGTATTCTGCTGGAGGTCACCGCCGCCGTCGAGCCCTGTTGTTCGCCGCCGCCGTCGATCCCACAGTTTACCGCCTAGTGCCCCTCAAAAAACCCTAGTTCTTCCTCCCCAAATCTGACCTCGCCGCCTCTCATGCTCCTCATTTTCGCTGGACGTCTGACTTGTAAGTCCTCTACCTCAAAACCCTAATCCTAATTTGGGTATTTTCAGATGTATTCTGCTTAGGCATTTGATTCCAAAAGCCACCTTGTTTCTAAGCTCAGTTCAATGGTTCTCCTTAGCCTCTAAGTTCATCCTTGTGATTCTGCGGTTTTACATCTGTTTCCTCCTGAAATTAGTAGTACATACAATGCTTGATGAGACTTCGAAGGAGAATTGGAAGATATAGTTAGCAGGTGAAAGACATTATAGTTATATGTTTTGTACTCTTTGCATTAGCGAACAATTGCATTAGCAAAGTACTGCAGTATTTTTTTGTGGATAATTCGTTGGTATTTGAACAGTGGTAGAATTTGGGGCAAACCTGCAAAGATGGTTAATTTGTGGATATATAGGTAAATAACCCTGTTTTACTTTTTTGAACTTTTATTTTTGAAATATGGTTATGTGCAGAAATTCGTTCCAAAAAAACACCCAGGAAGCTAACAAAAAGTACTTTCTTGTCGCATATTGCAGTCATCTTCATTAGATTAATTTCTTTTAGTTTTCTTTAGAACTTATAGCATATATTGAGCTTTGTGTAGGGCACCAGAAGACAATCGCATTGATAAGGAGCTGCTAGCGAGGCTCAACAATGCAAAGGTAATTGATCATTTGCATCTTCATGTGAATTTTGATTTTAATGGCTTATTCTGATGGAGGGTTTCTTGGTAGAATGAAAACAGTTTCGGAGGAAGCCTAAGGACAAGAGAAAATGTAAGTGTGAACATAATTGTGTGTATTTGTACATGTCTGTGATATTGTTTATATTTGCTATGTTTAGGAACAAAATTATTTGACGAATTAATAACCTATGCCCATCCTTTTTTTTTTTGAAGCCATGAAGCTAATATTATAAATTGCAACTCATTATGGCGTCTCTAACCTGTTGTCAAGCAGTAAAACATGTACAAGTTTTGGCGATGATTTGTATGAATTTGTTCCACTTGAAATGTCACATCTGTGTGGTTCTAGGCAGAGTAACATGTGCTTGTTTCTTTAATCATATTTCTATCACTAACTTCCAAGTTCTCCTTCAAATGTAGCGTGTAATCTGTTTGTCGAATTACCCAGCTTAGTTTTTCTCGGCCAGATAAATTTACAAATACTTTCAACCCCTTATAACCAAACTTTTCTGTACACATATATATATTGCATTTTTGTTTGTTTTCAATATGAGGCTATTAGTAATCAAACTTATTGAGAATTACTGTCTTTAATTGCTTGCTGAGTTATGAGGAATTAGTTTTAACCATGCGCAGAGATTCAGGTCCTTGTTTTACCAAGAGAAGTTTATTTGTCAGATGCTTATCCTCTCATTTTATTATGCAGGTATTATCATTCGACAATGTAGAGTTTTTGCTGCTACGGGAGAGGTAACACATTTTGTTATTTTGACTAGGAGTCAATTAGAGTGCACTTAAAGTTAACAGAGAAATAAGTAATTGACTATCCTGCTATCAAAGTCTCCAAAATTTCAACTGCAACTTTGTGTGACGAACACCATATATTTGTAGCCGAATAAACAATGTGCATGCCATTTTTTACTAGTTGATTTTCAGTTGAAATAGCTATCATCCAGGTTCTACTTCTTTGTGGTAACTTGTGGAGTATCAACCATCATCTTGGAGTTTTTACTTTTTTCTCTTTCATGAATCTTAAAATATGAACCTAGTATTAAAAATAATTGATGCTAATATCAGCCGTTATAATGAACCTTGCTGGTTTAATACGATTAACTTGTGATTATACTACCGCAGAAGTACTTTATGAAAGTGGTCATTCGAAACTTGATGTCCAGCACGCGTGATGGTGTTCATAGTTCTAACTTAGCTGCTGGCTTAACACAAGACAACTCTGGTTAGTAATCCTTGATTTGGTGCACAAATTATGTTTTCGTGGTTCGCGGGATCCACAAAGATGATCTAGAAGCTCCCCTGAGTTGCTTATATGCATGTAGTTAGTAAATTTGCATTTTACTCTGTGTTGTCGAGGCGAATTCTAATTTTTCTCTGAAAAATCCTGGAAGCCGCTGTAATCTACCTGTTACTTCATAAATGATTCCTAACATTCCATTACATGAAGTGTTTGCTGCATCTTTTTAACAACCAATTCTTGAAACTTTTGAGATGTGCAAAAGAGCAATTAGATTGATTTAATATGGAGCATGTACTCTAGGTTTTCAAAACAAGCTCTATGTTTTCAAAAACAACAAGTGCTTTAAGTCGCAAGGACTTACTGTGCTTCATGTATGTTATTACCTGTATTTGCTTAGTGTTTTTTTGTTTCTTGTTGTTTTAGTTCCAAAAATTAGCTTTGGCTGTGATTTTGCATCCCGATTTTCTGAGATTTACAAAAAATAAGAACCGAATGTTTTCCCTTTTTTATGTAACAGTTGAAATAAAATAATTAGCTACTTGGTTGGTGTCATGAAAATTCCCTCTAGCAGTTCTTCGGTCGCTGCATCCTCCTCCATCTCAGACATCCAAGCTCGCTGCTGGTGAAGGTAAGGTTATCCAAGCTCGCTGTCTGTACATAAGATTATATGTTGTGCATATATGTATGGATATATATATGTATGTCTATATGTTGTGTATGTATGTATGTGTATTGCATATTTATCATCTTTTTAAGCAATGATACATGGATAATTAGTATGTAAATGTTAAGAGGAGGTATTCTGACCATTTTAATGTTAAAACGTTTTAATGTTAAGGGATAATTAGTGCAAGTCGACGACTAAGTGTAGCCTTAAAACATTTATACTGATTTTGCTACTAATTGTTTCAGGTATTTTCTCTGACCTTCTCTGAAGCTGACAGGCTGATCCTGTATTGCTCTATAGGATCCCTTGTTTACTGTTTCACAAGCACTAGATGTCTGGAGTTCAGAACGAGGATGCTTTTTTGTTAATTTACCGCATCAAAATGTTGGAGTTTGAGGACTTCCCCTATTAGTCTCTTCTCTAGTAAACTAATACAGTCATGTTGTGCTTCAGATTCCTTTCTACACCATTCTCCAATCTTTCCTTGCTGTTTTTACATCTGAACACCTTGTGTCCATGACCTGCTCAGAAATATGGTTGCCCTTTCATAATTTGATTTTATGTTATTGTATAGTTCATTGTGTTCTATGCCTTCTTCTCATTTTGCTCATAATAAGTATCCATAATCAGTGATTCTATGGTGAACTAATAGCCTAATAACACCATTTTGGTGGAGGCACTGGCTTAAGCCTGGGTTCTCTTATTCTTGTGCGTCTCTCTGTGAAGATTCAAGCTAGTCTTTTGGAGAGAAGACAGTCGGGTATGTGAATCTTCTATATTTCCTGTACCGGTGGTCTTTCTTGATTTTCCATCTTGTTATTATTTTTCCTGCTATATACATTTATACGAGCAAATCCGTGTATGCTTTTGAAGACAGTTGGGTATCTATATTTTTTTATTTGATTTGCCTAACTGCCCCAACGGTTGGAACCGCTGGGGCAAATATTTGCCCCAACGGGTCCAACCGTTGGGGCAAATATTTTTCTTTTTTTTTTAAAAAAGGAAAATATTTGCCCCAACGGTTGGAACCGTTGGGGCAAACATGTCAACCGTTGGGGCTGGGTCAGCCCCAACGTAATTTTTCCCAACGGTCGATTTTTTAGCCCCAACGGTTCAAACCGTTGGTGTCATGATTTGCCCCAACGGTTTGAACCGTTGGGGCAGCCCTGCTTTGTACTAGTGTTGGGGGTGTATTGCATTGAATTGTACTGAACTATAATTGTACTGCACTGTAAGAGAAACTCCAATAGAACTACGACAGAGCTAGAACTGAACTGATACTACACTACAACTATACTAGAACTGTACGAAAAAATAAATTAAAACTGAACTGTAACTAAACTACAATTGAACTGCGACTGAACTTCAATTGAACTATAACTGAAACTGAAAATGTGCTGCATTGCACTGCAGTCGGAAGTAAAATTACAACTACACTGTGCTGAACTACACTGTACTGTATAGAACCGAAAACTGCATCACGCAGGTGAAAGAACAGGGCCTTAGTGGTAGGGTTTTAGTTTTTTTATCTTTATTCTGGTTGTAATTTTGGAAAATCATATTTCAGTAATTTTAATATGATAGTCCTTCCGTTAAGAAATTTTTGTCGTTTTTGCTTTATGGGGTCAATTTTGACTTAGAATTTGTAAAAAAAATACTTAGATCCATAATGTGAAAATACTATTATTAGATTCGTATTGAAAAATACTTTCATTCCATTATCTTTTTATGATTTTTACTAATATATGTTAAGAGATATTAATGGTAAAAAACAATAATTTTCAAACAAAAGGAGTATATAATTATCTAAAAATGATATCATTATGTCCGAGGATTTTGTTACCATTAAAAAAAGGAAAAAATGCTTCCAGCCCCCAAAACACAAGAAAACGTGCACCCCTCCCCAAGACTTTTTCAACGGGTGCTTTGCCCCCAAAATGCTCCGTGATTTTCTTCCAGCCCCCAAAACAAATCCCCAGTCGTAACTCCGTTTAAACCCCTCATGAAATGCCCAAAATACCCTTCGCAGCATGTGTTCGTCGCCCTCTCACGTCGGAAACATGGCGTTTCGACTGTAGGCATTAAATGATGATTAGAATGCCTTTTTTTTGGGGGGGTCCCATTTTCCTCTAAAATTATCACCAGATATATTCCCCTTCCAGCCGTAATAAAATCACTGAGTTCCTCCCCATTCTATTACCCTAACTAATCTGTTCCTTCTACTTATAATTCTCCTCAATAAAAACCTCTTCGATTCTTCAACTACTCCCTATAATAACATGGCGGATGGATCTCTTCTATGTGTGGTAACGAAAGCAAAAAGCAACAAAAATGGTGACGGTGTATTCGTCGTTATCAAAGAGAATACAGAAATAATCAGCTTGAAATATCAAGTGTCGGAAAGGCTTAAAATACGAATGCAATCTCTTTCACTGAAGTTCATATGCCAAAGGGAAAAGAAATTCAGTATTTCAATTGACAATGACGATGACTTAAATTTGATGTTCGAGTATTGTCGACGTAATGGATTTACAGACGCGAATTTGTATGCTACCTCCGCTGCGGAATCCTCAACTTCGCAGAACACGCAGACTACGCCGGAAACTGCGTAGGAATTACACTCCAGATTTCCTTTTGAGTTCACTGATAGGTTTTGCCATTAGTTGTTAACCTCATGCATTGGTTGCTTAGGTAATGTGTTGGTTGTCAAGGTTATGTTAAGCACTGGTTGTTAAAGTTATTTGTTGGCTGTTACGTATACTAGTTGGTTGCTAAGTTATGGTGTTTGATGTTAAGTATATGCGTTTGTTGTTAAGGTCACGAGTCTGCCCTTAAGTATAAGGGTTAGTTGTTAAGGATATGTGTAGGTTGTTACGTTTATGAGTTCGTTGTTAAGGTTATCAGTTCGTTGCTAAGGCTATGTATTTTGATTTATACTTCAGGACAATACCGACAGAAAATTCGCGGTGCGCAGATACCCCGTTCACCCAAACCTGTAATGATGAGCGTATTCCTAATGACAACCCCACCGGCGACTCGATCATGCTGCTGGAAGACATGCTTAATCACCAAACAAAGATCCCAACTGAGTGGCACACCTCCATACGTGAAGTTGGTGAGAAATTTGATAGTGCTGCTGAAGTTAGATTAGCACTTTAATATTATTCAATTGCTAAACGGTTCGAGTATGATTTTTACCACAATGAACAAAGGCGCATAAGAGTCTATTGCCGATTCAAGCACACACATGGTTGCCCTTGGATGTTGTTTGCTTCCCCGCTTAGAAATTCATTTATCATGTTCATAAAGAATTTTAAATCTACCCACACCTCCGGTCAACATGGAGCAAATGCTAGCAACTCAAGGGCATCAAGGAAGTTCATTGCTAGCTTAATACAAACTGTTTTGAAGGTTAGGCCAGATCTTCGTACAGTTGATATCAAGAACGACATGCTCTCTAATTTTGGCATCAAGATTAACTGCAGTAAAGCATGATGAGGCAAGGAGACAGCTCAACAGGACCTGTTCGGTGACGATGATGAGGCTTACGATTCACTGAGATGGGACGTTCTTTTTTATTCTGCTGAAATCACTCTTACGTTTTGGTTGCTAACTATACGTATTAGTTGTTAAAGTTATTGGTTTGTCGTTAAGTATACGTGTTGGTTGTTAAGTTTAAAGATCAGTTGTTATGGTTATGAATCCGTTGCTAAATTTACTGCTTTGTTGTTATATTCATACAGGTATAAATCCATGGTGCATGTAACTAATCCAGGGAGTCGTGTTGTTATTGATGCTGATGACGGGAGGTTCAGGCGATTGTTCATTAGTTATAATGCTTGTATTGAATGGTTCATTGCTGGGTGCAGGCCTTTATTATTTTTAGATGGAACATTTATTAAAGATCGCTACAGAGGCATACTACCTAGTGTAGGCATATAAAATTGCTTATAGGTCCCTTAGCGCAGCTCAGCACAAACCAACGAACCAACAAGGCGACGAGGTTGACGAATCGCACGCAAACAACGGAATAAATCCATTCGCATGCAGAATCAAGCTAACAGGTTGAGGAATCAACGAGTTATCCAACTAAGAGCGGACTCGGACGAATCACGATCGAATCAAGATCAGTTTCGAACTTGAACTCAGAATCAGATTTACTGCCATATCAGGAATCAGGTCAACGAATCGAGTCAACCACACAACCGAATCACAGACAGAACCAAAAAACGGATACAACGCAAAACGACGAAACCCAATGCCTAAGGGGGGCTCGGCCAAGGCCGAGCCACCCATGGGTGGCTCGGCCATAGCCGAGCCACCCATGGGTGGCTCGACCAAGACCGAGCCACCTATGGGTGGCTCGGCCCAGTGCCGGCCACCCCTAGGTGGCCGACCCAGATCTGTGCGCGGGCACAGTTCAGAGAGCCTATAAATAGGCCCCCTTGGTTCATTGTTCAAAGGTTGGAATTTTAGACGGCGAAGCTCTGCAGGATTCAAGACTCAGATCTAAAAAAGATTGAAGCTTTGGAACCTTGAAGACTTGCTCATTCAGATCTGGTGCTCGGCGATCGTCCACGTCAGAAAAGGCAAGAGTTCGAGAGGAATCGGATCTCAGATCTACGCAGTCGTACTCCGGATCTAAGCTTGGTCTTAGATCCCGAGATTTGGACGATTATTTCCTTAGTGAACTAATCCTCCCCGGCTATTATTTCCCTTGTGAAATAATACCCGTCGTACTGCGTAGATCCGACCGGATCTAGGATAAAAAGTTGTAATCTTTCTTTTATTTTCTTTGATTTTCATTGTAACCGGATCTTATAAAAAGACCGGATCTTTGTAATCGATAAACTATTACAAGAGTTTGCAATGGAATCAATAATGAAGAAAACAACGATTTTTCCCGCGAACAATCTGGCGACCACAGTGGGAGCCGACGATCTCGCTGCCGAGATCGATGCGTCGCAGCCGCGGATCTCGATCCCGGTCGAGGAGGAGGTCGAGTACGAGTTCGACCAAGCCAAGTTCGAGGAATACTTATCCTCGTCTGGATCTACCTCCCCCCGCAAGTCCAAGAAGTTCTCCTCCAGGAGAAAAGTTCGTTGGTTTGAAGAAGCTCGGAAAGCCAATGAAGCTCTCACCCCAGCTGACGCCAAAGTTGCGTCGGGTGAAATTCCGCCGACCTCCAACCAGGTCAACCCTACTCCCGCTGACGCCTCCACTGTAGAGGGCGTTGTGACTCTCTCAAAGAGAGCCCGCCAGAGGCGACGTCAACGCCTTGTGCGGCAACTCGCTAAGGCGATGGAGTCTACAGACGGATTCCGCTACAACGCGGATCTGAAGAACAGAAGAGGCAAACAGCCTCAACCACCGATGAATGGCGACTCCTCCAAGCCGCCAACGAACGAATGGGTCCGTGTCAAACGGAACCGTTCAACACTTGAGGAGCGCATTCGCAAGCGCCGCGCAATGTCAGCGCAAGCACGAGCTCAAGTTCAAGAAGCCCGTAGAAGATTGTAGAAGGAGGTGACGAAGAAGCCACCACCAACCCGCTAAGTCTGAAGGCCGAAGTCTGAAGTGGCGACT